ACTAAAAAAGAGAAAGGGTGAAAAAAAGTTAGAGCAGTAAGAAGAATCATCTTTTATTTTCGTGAATTTGAAATCGTACAGACGAGAGAGAGAGAGAGAGAGAGAGAGAGAGTATCAAGTCACTTAGCATATGACCCTGTACTGTCAGACACCTTGATTCCTTCTTCCACACCCACAGCCAAAGACCAGTAGAGAGAGAGAGAGAGAGAGAGAGAGAGAGAGAGAAGACTCATTTTTTAGCTTTTCTTCATTTGCCTTTGTTCTTTGCAAGAAGTTACCATCCCTCTTTATCCCCCTCTTTGCTTTATTTTTCTTTTCCTCTCCCTCTCTCTCTAAAATCTCTTCAACAAGAGCACTTTATTCCCTTGAACTCACCCTAAAAAGAAGACGATCCTACCACGATCCTCCTTGTGTTCAGAAACCAACACCCCCTCCCTTTATCTCTCTCTCTCTCTCTCTCTCTCTCTCTAACCTTGTTTTGAAAAACTTCTCCATCCTATCTAGAATTTTTAGAAAGAGCCAAAGACCTTCTTTTGCTCTTGTTTGTTCCCACATAACCCTATTCTTGTTTTTGCTTGAATATCAACATTTGCTTATAAAAACAGTGGTGAGTTTTCTGATAAAATTATAACATTTAAGTCAAAATGGCATCGTCACCTTCGGAGCTGAGCCTGGACTGCAAGCCCCACAGCTACTCCATGCTCCTCAAATCCTTTGGGGACCTGCAGGCGTCTCATCTCCACGACCAGTCTCAGACTCAGAAGCTTGAAGAGTTCCTCTCCCGCCTTGAAGAAGAACGTCTCAAAATCGACGCTTTCAAGCGCGAGCTTCCTCTTTCCATGCAACTTCTCACCACTGGTATGCATCTAGCTAGATAGCTTTCCACCATTCGACTAGGTCTCAAGGTTCATGTTCTTTTAACTTCCTTCAAGTTTTAATTAATTTAATAGGTCTAGTTCCCATTCCCAACCCTTTTTCTTTATCCCTTTTTCATTTATAGAAGGGAGAGCTATCCCAAAGTAGCCACTTACATAATATGAATATCCAACATATTTTCTAAAGAACTAAAGCAACCACAATTCAAGGAAGTGATTTCTGCGCTCCCGTTATCTCCTACTAAACTTCTCCCTTTAATTTTAATCTTAGGAATGAATAAAACATAATAGAATCAATGGACAAAAACAATTGAAACTCAATTTAGCCCAAAAAAATAATAATACTAATTAGAGAATTGATTTTGTTTGTTTTTCTTTTTAAAGCTGTGGAGGCTTCAAGGCAGCAGCTACAGGCATATAGAACAAACAATATTCAAGGCCAAAACAGGCCCGTGCTTGAAGAGTTCATACCCCTAAAGCATTCAAACTCTGAAGGCTCAGAAATTCCTACCAACGCTACTTCTGATAAGGCAAACTGGATGACCTCCGCCCAACTTTGGAGCCAAGCAACTGATCATAACCCTAATGCAACGTCTAAACCCCAATCCACCATAACAACCGGCCCTAAAGAAACAGATATCGGATTCAGCGTCAGCCCCAAACTAGGGTTAGAAACCAAGCAGCACAGATCCTACGGTGGAGGAGCTTTCCTTCCGTTTTCAAAAGACCGCAGCCCTACTCTGCGGCCTCTTCCGGAACTCGCTCTCGCCTCTCCAGAAAACAATAAATCAGAGATAGTATTGGAGGACAAGACTAATCATCATGAGAATGGAAATATTAATTCATCATCAGCTGCTGGGAATTGTAATGAACAAGGTAAATTATTAGGAGCTGGTGGAATTAATAATAGCTCGGAGGGACAAAATGGACAAACAACAACTACAGCCGGCGCCGGCGCCACCACCACCCCAACTCAAACCCATAGAAAGGCACGGAGGTGTTGGTCTCCGGACTTGCACCGCAGATTCGTCAATGCCCTTCAAATGCTTGGTGGTTCTCAAGGTAATCACCTAACCCTAGCTACCTGCTAATTAATAGCTCAATCATTATTTGTTATAACTTCTGGTCAATTTGAATCTTATTTACGTACGTACGTTTTGTTTGTTATGGTCAAATTTGCAGTGGCGACCCCAAAACAGATCAGAGAGCTGATGAAGGTTGACGGTTTGACCAATGATGAAGTTAAAAGTCATCTGCAGGTACAAAATATGTGTCCAATTATTCTTGCTCTTTTCTTGATCCCTGCAGGCAAAGATGCAGGCACGAAAAACCTATGCCTGCCTACCCTTTGTCCTATTTACGAGTATGTTGCCGGTTCAATTGAACTTGGATTACGCCATCGATTTTTCTATTGAACTTTTATTTAGGTAGATTTTGTTATGAACTACTACAAACAACCAATTTTCGCCCTTCAGTCATATTTTCTGGCATTTCAGATAACTTTTTGTTACTAATGTCGCATTTCAATAAATAAAAAGTAACAAACGATCATAAGAAGAAAACACTTAATGATGATATCTTTTGTTTTTCTGTTAAATTTTTTTTTTCTATTTAAACACCACCACCCATCTAATTTCACCTCACTAATTAAGTTTGGTTTTGTTTTAGTTTTTAATTGTGTTAAAAGACAAAAGAGGACAATTACTTGAACTTGAGATACAATGCCATCTACACCCTAAAAACCCTAATCTGTTCTCAAACAAAAAGAACTTCTATCATTCATCTTGTATCGGGAAAGAAGAGGTGTGGCTTTTATTTTTCTTTTGAGTTTTGAGAAGCAGGAAAGCGCAATAGATAGTCGACATGTTTGTAAAAAAAAAAAAAAAAAAAGAATTACGCAGGACATTTTTTTCTTAACGTTTTTGGCAAATCAATTTGGGGAAGAACATCAATTTAGTTTTATAGGTTTTGTGAACTGTTAAAATCTCAAGTACCAACATAAAAGGTTTAATTAAGGAGAAATGGACTGTGAAGTACGACTTTGGTGCAGAAGGAAAATCCGCGATATACTCGTATCTTAATTAATTACCATATCCTTTTTTCTCTGTTTTCTTTCTTAATTGTTAATTTTGTTATATTATTGTGAAAATTACAGAAGTACAGGCTCCACACAAGGCGACCGAGCCCAAGCCCCCATGCAGGCGGAGGACCAACGCCGCAGCTAGTAGTGTTAGGCGGCATCTGGGTCCCGCCGGAGTACGCCACTGCAGCCCACAACGGTTCTGCGGCTCTTTACAGCCCGCACCCGGCCTCCCATGCACCACCGCACTACTGCGCCACCCCAATGCCACAAGACTTCTACGCCACGCAGCAGCAGCAGCAGCAGCTGCACCACCACACTCTCCAACACCAGCTCCACGTGTACCGGACGTCCACCGCCTCCCACACCCAGAGCTCCCCGGAATCCGACGGCCGTGGGGCGGGAGACAGGTCAGAGAGCATTGAGGACGGAAAGTCGGAGAGCGGCAGCTGGAAGGGGACTGAGAGTGGTGATCATGTTAATATGAACGGTGGAGATCAGAGAAACGGAGGGTTGACTGCACGGCGGTCGGAAGACGGTGAGGACAGTAACGGAAGTCAGATCACGCTCAAGTTCTGACCTTTTGATGATACGAGGGTTACTTAATTAATCATAGGGTAATTAGAGAAAGATTAGGGCTTCCCATTTGTATGTTATATGCGCTAATCATGTTTAATTTCTAATATTTATCGTTATTTATGATGTGATAGATGTGCCCATCGGATTAGGGTTAGAGAGTATAGATGGGTAAAAAGGTCATAATGGGAAAAGTGAGCGTTTGTTTTATTTTCCCCTTTTCCTTTTTCTTTTGTAGATTGGATTCTATTGAAGGAATACTTCACATCTATCTCTATTCACTCTTTTTATATTCATACTTCCTTCTAAAAATGTGCTTTCCCTTTTCCACATGAATTATATAGGACAAGGAGGTTCTTTGTTAGGATCCTAGTTATGGGGTTTATATATTTATGGTATTTTGTCTTATCTTTGTAGTAGTTGGCTTCATCCAACGGTTCAAAAGATAGAGATGTGTTCCCATATGGGCACTCCTCTGCTAGGGTTGTATATAAGCCTCCTTTCACCATTTGGAAATGCATGAATGAAAAGACTTGTTATTTTATTTCTTACTTTCCTTGCATTTTCCTTTCCTTCTCCATTCCTTTGGAATGGGTCCTATCATTCTTGAATTAATAATTCAAACAAATTCAAAATATAAATAGACAAATTGGGGGTGTATTCAATTGGGAATTTGAGAGATTTAAATGGATTTATAAATTCATGGATTTTTATGGAGTGCAATTGATTTGTAGAGATTTCATGTAAAATTTTGATTTAATTCCCTCAAAATCTTATGGGAAGGGGTGAGATTTGTGTATACTTAAAATACACTACGAAATCTCTCTAATTTCTTCTAATTCCTCAATTTTTTCAAATTCTTTAAAATCAAATTCTATTGAATACAGCTGAAATGTTATAAATTTCTTAAAAATCCTGATTAAATACACATTGAATTTCAGATAATCACTTAAAACATTAATTGAATACACCTAGATTCATTAAAAGAATTAAATTCCTTCAAAATTCTAATTGAATACATGGGGTAAATCAGAATAAGTTACTAAGTTTAGTGTTCAAAATATTCCCAAATAACCAACCATAAAGAATATTGTCATGCTAAAATCAAATTGGACCATGCATGAAATAGAAGGATTAACTTTTCGCTCCAAATAACCAAACCATGTTTTGTGGTGGTGTTGTAACCCACGAAGAAACTAGAAAGAAGAGGCACCGAAAGTGCTTGTGTGTGTGTGTGTGATTGCCTGCCTGACTCCGACTTCTTTCCACCGTGATGGTCTCTCAAAGTCCTCAATAAAAAAACATAACAGCCACCTTATTACTCAGCCTTTTTCTTTCTGTTCCCTTGCTTTATACAACTCAGAGGAAGAAGGTTACTACATGTTACCATTTGCGCCATCTTTCGATCTTCGGCGTTAAAAGGTGTATATTCGACACCTGGGCAAAAATTCGATAATGAAGAGCTTTCGTGGAGCTAGATAAGTATCAGCAGATAACAAACTGCTCAAGTGGAAATGCATACCACTAGACGAAAGTAATGTACAACACAAGACCAAGCTACCAGCTTATCGGAAACCATGATGGAAGTTATACGTCTCTCAGATACAATAAGCTGAGTCTCCACTTTCAAGTAAATATCTACAAATGCTTCATAATCCTCCCCATCCAAACAGAAGGAGAAAAACAATATACTTTGTTACTTGTTACTCTTCTTCCAGATTTCAACACGATGCACATCATGCATTGCCAATTGTCAAGATTTCATCCCTCAAGCCAACTTCATCGCTACTATGTTCCAACATTCCTGTATCAACAAGCAACTGCAAGCAAAATGGTTTACATGTTAATTTCTATCACAACATTTATCCCACCACAATCTAACAGTGCAGAATGTAGAGGTAAAAATTTTCCACTTGGTACATATATTAGAATAGACTTTTGAGGTAAAACGAGGGTATGAAGATCTTAAAAAGAGCAAACTTTGGGGTTTGCACTTGACAAAAGTGTTAATGTGTCAACGCCAATGAAATTGGATAACTTCGTTACGGCAGAATGAATAGTCAAATCAGATCGACAATAAAGACGGACACAATGCAAGCTGATTTGACTTCAATTGAAGGATATAACTGAAGAAATATGTTCTTTCTCATTTCCAAAATTTCATATGGTTCATTTGTTTAGTCTTTTTTTATTTATGAGATTATTTACTCCTTTTCAAGCATTGATAAAATGGAAATGTATCCGCATTGTTTTCCTGTACAACTGTACAAATTTCAGAGGAACGAAGACACCAACCTGGAGCTCGTGTTCATAGCTTTTAAGTTTTTCAGTGTAATCTTTTACTTGCGTAAAGGATTTATGTAGCTGCAAATAATTTAAACAACGTGCATTAGCTCCAATTAATGTCCACTTGTCAAAGTTGAGTTTACTGACAACCAATCTTAGCGATTAAAAATACCTTGGTTAGCTTCATCTTCTGGTGTGAAGAGTTCTTCTTTGCATTTATCAAGGCATCCTCCAATTTCTGCATGAACAGATTTTCAGTATGACATGCACCAAGTTTAGCATGTAAAACCAAAAGACTTGCACTAAAACTTACATTCAGATTAAAGTCAAAGATTGCACGAGATAAAAAATGACCCTTAAACAATAAGAAAAAGTACCTTAGATTTCTTCTGTAAATTCAAAACAAGCTTTTCTTTCTCCTCTATGCTCTCCTCCATCAGAATAGTCTGACATCATGCAATAAAACTTAGTCTCCTACATTGCAGACCAAGATTTCGGGCATTTGAAAGTATGCTGAACTAACATAAAATGTGCCTCTTGCGTATTGACATCTAAAGGACCATTGGATGCCGCCTTAGGTATTTGTGAAATAATCGGGCAAATAAAGGTAAATTCTTATGGAGAGACAAACCTCATTTTTAATTTCTTCAACCCTTCGCATGGATCTGTGAAGCTGTTCTTTTACCTAATGTTTTTAATAGAACAAATGAAAACAAAAAATCACTTTGGTTAAGATGACACAAACTTACAAATGCATGGCAATCTCTTAGCAAGAAAAGCTAAAAAAAAGCTGAACTTGCCTGAACATTGTAATCATCACTTGGATGAGATATGAGGTCCCGACTTTGTCGGCCAACCGTATTTGAACTGCAGAAAAGAAACCAAAACATAATGAAGAAAGGTCTAGTCCTTATAGGAGCACTAAAAGTCTGTTTAATTGAACTTGTGTGATCATCTCCCAGGAAACACGATTGCAACTCAACTGATAACATGGTACTACAATGATAACCAACAATTACAAATAAGGAAGGGTATCTTACCCGTTCCATCTCCTTGACTGGTCATCTCCATCCTTGTCACCTGTGCTATCAAGGCTTTTGGTTTTGTCCATATCCCTATCCCTATCAGACTCCAAAGATCGGTCTCTTTCCCTACCCTGATTACGGTTCCTGCTCTGTCCTTGGTCGCTATCTACCGCAACTCTATCCTGATCAAGATCTATATCCAAAACATGGTCCCTTACGTGATCATAATTGCGTTCACCCTCATACCGTCTATCCCTTTCTTCACCAACATCCTCAGGGGACCTGTCACGGTCACGCTCCCTGGACTGATCAGTGTACCTATCCTTATACCGGTCCCTATCCCGACTAAAATCCCTCTCATGGTCTCTACTTCTATCCCAATTTCTCCCCCTCTCGGCATTCCGCCGGAAATTCTCCCTCTCTCTCCCAAAACTCAATCTTCCACCTCTACTCCTCACTTCATTTACTCTGATCACTCTTCCATCAACAGTCTAAACACACAAGAGAAAGACCACACAAATTTCACTCAAGAATATAAGATAATAAACCAATCACAGAAACCCTAACTGCGTAGATGTTCAATCAAATGGAAGAAGAAAGCAAAATTTACATACCCTGCCATCCATCTCATTGATGGCGAGAATTGCCGACCGAGGATTCCTGAAAGTGACAAAGCCATAGCATTTTCCTCGAGTCGCCGCGTCGTTGATAATCTGCAGATTGAAGAAGAAGAAGAAGAAGCAGATGAGGGGAAGAAAATCCCAAATGCTTAAGAACCCTACGAAGTGAAAATGGCGGCAAATGGATGAAGGAGGAGGAGGGAGCTGACCTTAACGGCAATGACGTTACCGTACAGCTCGAAGACTCTGCGGACGGTTTCCTCGGTGGCGTCGTACGGAAGGCCTCCGATGTAGACGGAGCTCTCGTCGTCTATCGTCATCTCTCTCAGGACTTTCAAGTTTCAGTTCTCAATTCTTTTCTTTCAGTGGAGCTCTTGGAAGATGACTTGTCGTTTGGGCCTTGGATCCGGAGGACACTCACTACTTTGGGCCTGCCCATTCAAAATTGTGGACTCAAAACCCTGCTCCAAATTGGGCTTGAGCCCCGTTATTTTTATGAAAATTTTGTAGCGTGTTTAGTTACTTGGAATGAGAGAAGACGTAAACCCGGAGATTGTGCTGTTAAGTTCTCCATTATGCATATGTCAACGATCAATCGGTTCAACCAGCATGCGGTGTTCACTTTTGTGAAAAAACCACTCCATGAATTTAGTCCAAGAAAATAGGCATCCACATCACGGAAAATTCATTGTGGGGGCCCAAATGTCGATGGCTCGTAATGTGACTCTAAAATCCAATCTCCTCATCTACCTGTTTGTTTTTCGAGCATCGAATTACAAACCGCAATGGGCATTTCTGGTACGTAGGCGTGCTATTAAGGGAAGAATCAAGCGTCGACGTCGGCGCGGGCCCCACACCTTGATGGGTCATGACTCATGACACCCAAAAAGTATTGACCTCAGAAAGGTGAGAAGATTGTGTCCTTGTCAACACGTGGGAGGTAACTGACGCGTGAATATGCTGCCCCGCAGTGTTTGGGTTACGTTTTGTGGTCCTTTTTCGAAAGAAATTAGTGTGGGCCCAACTTTGGCCCACTTCGCCACAACTTGCTCTGATGGCTCCGTAACGGGATCACGTGAAGACCAAAAACACAGGTCAAGTTGGTGGGCCTTTAGTTTGAGCATCTTTGATGGACTAGATTTTTTAGCTCGATTTCAAGTTTGTATTATTATTATTATTTTTTCTTTCAAACATTACTAGTTTGAGCATCTTCGATGGACTAGATTTTTTCACCAATGATAAGATATTTTATATTAAATTACGTACGAATGGGAATATTCAAATTTGAGTCTCGAGAACGAGCACACTACTCTAACCAAATTGATTAAGTCTGTGTTTAAAGCCACTCTCAATCGAGTGCATTACAATTATTCAAAAGAGAGAACAACTTTTAACGAAATATAAAGTGCATTGCTACATAGCATTGTAAAAGTATGCTGCAATACATGACTTTTATGTCGTTTGAAGTTATTTTGGCTGGCATTTTAGACTTTAAAGATGCACTAACAAAAAATTTTACAGAAATTTTTTCTATACGGTTTATTCATCCAAAATATAAAACGTGTACAGCCACACAAATTGAATTTACGTCATTGTATTTATGAGTCAGCTGAGAGAGGTCTATTACTCTTTAAACATGGAGAGGTGTCGAAAGAGGCAGATCGAGGACAGTGGTGTCATGTGAATGAGGCAATGTTGAGCCCCTCCTGACAAATTATTACGTCCGGAGGGTCCCGTTTTGTGCCTTCTTTTTTCCGTTCTTGGCAAAACCCACATGCAGCCCATCTGCATGCATGATTAATCAAAAAGCGCTACGACGACGTCGTCCTTTGAATGCCAATTGCAATTGGGGATGGATCATCAATCTATCCATGTATCCCTTGGTTGGTTTTGTGCATGCATCGATCCTTTTTTATACTATCTTTTCATGAATATCATCCAACCCAACAACTTAATGGAGAAGGTAGAGATGGTGTTTCTGCACTTATGTTTCTATGCTTCAAAAGTTGGTTCCCCAACATGCTCTTTTCATTTTCTTGCACAACTTATTAGCTCAATTCACTAATGGGATTGTATTGTTCATGGCCCCATTGCCACTCCTCCATGTTCCCGGTTCCTTTTCTCGTCATTTGGATCGAGGATCGAGTCGTTTAATGTAATTAAGTCAGCAATTATTGAGTTTAATGATACTATGTCTCTATTTTATTAAAAGACATCTTGAGTTTAAATCTAGTAAACAACTGTTATAGTAAAATTGAAACCTATTCTCCTGGTAATTTGATAAGCCACTTTACTCTCAAGTCATGTGTATCCACCTCTCTTTTTTCTTTTTCTTTTTTTATTTTTTTTATCACGCTCTTTTGACAATTTATAGGCATTGGGCACATCCCTATCCATTGCCCCCACCATTTCTATTTCTCCTCATTTCAATAGCGATCGACTAATAAATCAATTGTTGTTTAGTTTAGTTTTACGACATTCAATTTTTTTCATTAAAAAAAAAAAGGCTCTCTTGAGTTCAAATTTGACGAACACTTTGAATGAAAAAAATGATATCTACTGGAGATAACATGAGATACCACTTTACTTAACTCATCCACCTTATTCTCTCTTTCCCTTTTCACTTTTTTGATAGGCATCGATCACATCTCCATCAATGATGGGAAAATGGCATCGAGAATTCCACTTGTGATTGTGGTTACTTCCTTTAAGCTTCGCATGTGTAAGTGTAAAGTAAACATCTCTATTCTATTTCCTTTCATGTGGAGATACCCATAAAGAATTGGTCTCCTCCTTTTCCACATATTAGGTAATGGGTTAAATCCCCAAATAGTACCCTTGAAAACGAAATCGCTTGATGTATTTCGCATATATTTATAGGGTTTGTTCGGTTTGACAAAACCCAAATGCATATCAATTCTGTTTTTCTGAGTGCGTACTGCATAATATGAGTAAACTTTCTCCAATGATCAATTTTGACGCAACTTTTGTATTGAATCCGAGCTAAATGAACGAACATTGGCAATTACAAAATATGATCAAAATTAAGGCAAACAAATTAAAAATAAAAAAACTTGTCTATTTAACAAACTAATAAAGAAATTAGGTGGAAATAGATAAAAAAAATGCAGATTGAATTCTATGTGATCGGCCATCACATTCACACCAACACGCGTACGTACTACGCAGGCAAAATTATTAGTGTTTGGTCGCAGGTAGCAGTCGAGAGGCTAGACCCTAGACCTAGCTAGCACAGAATAAGCTTAGTAAACGTCAGCAACCACTCTGGTTTCCCTTTTCCAATTTATTTTTCATTTATTTTTTTATTTTTCCCACAAAATCAATCTTGAAGGACACACAAGGGACACTTGCCTTCCCACAGCCACTTTTTCCTGCGTTGACTGCCTGTTGACCATGCGAGCTACTAAACCATACTTTTCCTAAGGCTACATTGATCTATCTGGTTATGTCTTCTCTCGTCACTCCACAAATCTGGTAATATGATAATGTGAGTTTACTCGTCATTAAGAATCTGTAGATTATCGCTTTCGTGAAATCACCTAGTTGGTTGGTAGACTCTGATAGGCATTCTTAAGAGCTTATTAGTATAACTTAACCCTAAAAACTGGGTTGTAAGAGTGTTAAGATAGCTAATTAGTAGTACAACTTGACACTAAAAACTGGCTTATAGGAAAATGATGCACAAGAAATTTAAGCCATCCCAAAATATGTTATTCTTGAATGTGGGATAACATAGACCAATGCATTCCAATTTTGAAAATTTGGACCATTTGCCTTCATAATTATTATTTGCGGCAGTATTTACCATATTATAAGCATTTTCTTGATCATTAAGGTAGAACACAGACTCAGAGCGAGAAACTCATAGTAAAATTAAAAAACAAAAAGGAGCTAATTAAGGTGGAAATTTAGATTCGATTGGGATTATTATTCTGATTAATAATTCCAACCGCTTGTTGGTTTGCCGTGGCTTCGGCCATAGGCATCACTTGCCAGGCCGAAGCCGCGATGAGAGGGCGGTTGTGCCAACCGAGAGTGAGGCAGCCTTGGTTCTCCTCCACGCGGTACCCTTCAGCCGAGAAGAGAGTAAGAAGCATACTCGCCTGCTTAAACGCATTCGATCCCAAGTGGAGCGGCCTGAACCCGGCTTGCTCGAGCCGGATCCGCCACTTGTCCAGCGGTTCGTGCCTCTCGACTCGAGCCGCTCCCTCGCAGCACACAACGTTGCATATCTCCCTCTGTATGTAAATCTCCGCCAAAGCCTTCTCCGGCTGCATCGCGCAAGCCTCCAGCGAGTCGAACATGTTCGAGTAGTAGTACAGCGCCTCCGTGAACCGGTCCAGAAAACCCGGTTTGTTATGGTCCGCTTCCTGCTCCACAACCGCCACGATCTTCGGGTTGAGGTTCCGGATCCAGGACAGCATCATCTCGATTGGGGAGTTCCGGTTCGGGTCGGATCCGAGCAGCCGGTGCAGCTGCATGATAGAATTCACCGCCACCGCCTCCTTGGGACTCACCTGGAGCATCCACGGCTTCACGTCCTCCAGCCTCGAAGCCGCCACGCCGCGGAAAGCGAAGCGGACGTTGACGGACCGGGCCAACTCGGCGAGTCGGAGGCCGATTTCTCTCAGCGAGTCGCGCCCGTCCGGGGACGGCGGTCCAATGCCGGTCAATCGAAGCAGGGGGGGCCCACCGGGGCGGAGGGCGAGGGCCTGAATAAGCGCGGGCCATTGGAGGCCGTGCATTAAGTTGAAGTCGATGACGTGGACGCAGTCGTGACCGTCGAATGCTTCCAGGATGGCCTGATTGGCGGTGAAGTGCGCGAATTTGAGATAGGGGCAGGCCTCGTAGAAGTAGTGGTAGAGAAGCTCATTCTCGTGAACCGAGCCGGAAGCCGAGCCGACGGTCTGCGGCGAGAAGATTCGGCAGCTGAGGGCGTCGATGAAGTACCCGGCGACCTTCCCGATGCCACAGCTGGGGTTGACACGTGTCAACAGAGCCTGCATGTTCTCGATCAGGGAGCCGGCCAATGCTAGGTCACCACGCTGGACGGATTCGGCGCACGTGACAAGCAAGTGGACCAGCCTAATCCCCGAATCTTCTTCCATGGCGGTGACGACGGTGAGCTGGTTGTGGTTCTGCTGCGGCACGGCGGCGATGACGGCGGAATTATCGGTCCATGTTTGGCGGGGGAGGGCGGCGGGATTATTGATGACGGCGCCTTCGGAGAAGTCGAGATCGGAGGGGAGAGAGATGAGGGGTTGGTGGTTGAACTCGGTGAGGAGGGAGTCGACCCAGGTGGCGAGGTCGGCGGGGTTGTAAAGGACGGCGTCGGAGGCGAGGTGGGAGAGGTCGCCGGGGGAGTTGACCATGACGGTCTCAAGCCGCTCGAGGCGCTGGGCGACGTGTCGCAGATCAGAGGAGCGGACCTTGTATCCGGCATCGGCCAAACAGCCATCGATGTCGGCGGGGGGTTTGGTGACGGAGGAGGAGGAGGAGGAGCTGGCGCTGCTGCTGGCGCCGGAGCAGGTGGTGGAACCGTACGGCCCCATAGATTAGGAATAGGAATTGGGTTTTTTATTTTGTGGGTGAGGATAAATATGGATTCAGATACGAGGTGGGAGTTTGTGGGATTTGCTGATGAATCTTCTTCTTCTTCCCATGAGGAAGTTAGAGAGAGAAAATTGTAGAGAGAGAGAGAGAGAGTGAGGAAGTGAGCGAGTGGAAAGAGAGGGATGAAATACTGAGTGGGGGAGAGAGAGAGAGAGAGAGAGAGAGGTGACTGCTGACATATTACAGGGGTACACTAGTACCAAGTACCAACCAACTGGATAGTATAGTGAATACACTGCTCCCTTGCTTTATTTTTCTCCTTTTTTCCTTTTCCTTGCACTATATATTTTATTGATTTTTCTTTTTTATATTTTTATATTTGTTTGGATTAGTTGTAAGCTGTAATCTACTAATCTCTTTGGTAATAATGCTAGAGGGGCCAGAGCCAATTTTTGGTCCTTCTCTTAAATCATTGATTCAAGTTTTTCCGAATTTGAATGTTGAATGTTCAATCTTCAAGTGAATGGAAGACATAAATAAGATAATGTTGACAGCCATCAAATATTTGCATGATGGTATTACAAATTTACGTATTATAATATTAAATATGATTTTCGCACTATCAATTTTTTCTTTGTGCTTGCTTCTTCTTATTTGTATCATTTGATTCTCTTTTAATTTCTTCAATTTGAATAATATCGGTTAACTTGTGATGTGTAAAAGAGGAGAAAAGCTTTGTGTAAAGCAAAACAACAACCTCCAAACTTTCTTTTATTAAGTGGGGTCGACTGTATGAATCTTAGAACGTAATATTTGCAAGCTAGGTGATACTTCATAGATTTAAGGTGTAGTCCTAATAAAAAGATACCTGTGTGTATAATAGTATAACAATCACATTGAAAAATTGCTCGTCAGTGAGCGGTCAATCAGTCTACGACGGAGAAATTGTATGGGAACATCCATATAGTGATCGACATCAGGAGTCAACAGTGTGTCCAAATCTGCCGGCTCAAAATAAAGAGACTGGGTCAACTTGGCTTCAACGTTTGCTGCTATGAAAATCTGCATCTAATAAATAATGCATCTAATAATTAATCACATTCGTGTTTAATTTTCTCCAAGATCTTCCTAAGCTTAACCATGTCAGACGGAAGGCAAACCAGGCGGCACACAGGCTCGCACGTGCTGGTGTTGGAAGCTCTCAGGAGAAAACGTGGCTTGAGGAACTTCCGGGTTTAGTTATGGACGCCTTGGTTGAAAATGAGTCCAATTAATTTGTAATATTTCTTTGCTATGTGAGGATAGTTAATTTTTAGTTTGTTTGTGGGGGACATTCTTTTTCTTTTCGATCAGGTTGAAAGCCCCAACAAGATTTTTATCGAGACCCATATATGTACTTCATCCTCACTTTATACGTATTCCCTTCTTATCAATGAAAATCGTACTTTAATATTAAAAAAATAAAGAAAAGTAAATGAGTACTTTTATTCAAGTAAATAGTAATATGCCTTGAGTAATTTTGACCCTTTATTATACATATATTTCAAATGGATCACTTCATCGATAGGGTTAGGGCAAAAGAGGTAGATGAAGATTTACAAAAAAAAAAAAAAAAAAAAAAAGAGATAGAGGAAGACCTAGGAAGATGGAGGCTCAAGGTAAAAGAAGTAGAGGAAGACATAGGAAGATGAAGGCTCAAGGCAAAAGGGGTAGATGAAGACTTAGGAAGACGGAGGATAAAGGCAAATGAGATAGAGAAAGGTATGGAGTACTTGAATGAAGCTAACGGAAGACTTGACGCAAAATCGAGCTTAATGCGTTTTAGGATTCATATAGTCAGCCCCATTTAGGAGGATAAGGTATGGTTGTTGTTGTTATTATTGTTCGGATCATTTCATTGATAAGTTTTTAAGTATAATTGTCACTGTTTAAGTGTTAAGTGATATTTCCATTCCACTCATATTATAAGTTATACGATCAGTTCATGACATGTCGTCGTTGTCATCGATATTATATAATATGCGTGTAAAATTATCACCATGCAGTAGTGTGATCATGACCCTAAACTTTATGTTTTCCATTTCATCTTACAATTTGCTCTATATTAAATGCATGAGAGGAATCATGATTCACTATGTAAATAGGTCATTTCATTATCTACTTGCTTATAATTAATCCATATTAGCATTTAATCCTTTTAGCTGTTGATTTAATAAATCCACAACTTGATCTTCAACCCTTGGCAATCGTTTTTAACCAATAGTTAATTATTTGAATATCGAGCTTAAAAAATGAATTATTTCTTAATCTCCACAGAGTTATTGGGTATGTCGACAACGGCAGTCTGAGTTAAATATTAAAATCCTAACCTTCTCATTAAGCTCTTCCTCCACCCCAGCACAAGATTATACAATAATTAAGGATCACTAATGCTCTCTTATGCACATAATTACCTATATGATTGGCTCCCACCTGTGGAACCCATCAAGGGGGCCACTTGAAAATAGTTGGGGTGTGAGAGGAGAAAGAAAGTACTCTCTCTTCTCATAATACTATGAATAAATTAATGGGATCTTTTGAAATGGATCAATTGGACTAAAAATTAGACATATTTCAAAAATCAAAAGTCACTAAAAATTGGACATATTTCAAAAGATGGGCTATAAAATTGGACCTCTTTCAAATTTTTCTTAAATTTAATTTATCATCTGAATATTTTTTCAAGAGTTGAGAAAAATCTCATAATCTAATGTCAAAAGCCCTACAATTACAAAGTTGATCATATCATTTCATACTTGTAGTTGATCACATTAAATATTTGACTCATTTTTCTATTAAATATATATACTCTCTTATATATGATTTTTTTAGCTATTTAAAATAACCTCGGTCGCTTTAAAATAATATTTTAAAACGTAAAAGGAACGTTACATTGGTTTAAAAAATTGTACATGACTATGAGAGGATGATGACTTACATAGAACTTGATCATTATTATTGTAATATTTGGATCGAATAACATAAAATTATGTGTAAAATTCTTTGCACATGAAATTAAATTATTAAATTGAAATGTCAAGTAAATGTAGAATCGTTATCTCTGTGCAATTGCTCTCCATGAAAGAACCTCATGGGAGTTATTGGATTTACCAAAAAAAAAGTGAATGCAATTTGTTAGGTAATAGGTACCGTCACTAATATTGACAAGTATATTTTTCTATAGTTTATTTTGTCATTGTATATTGTACTGCCACATATTCCACGTCACTGAGACACATGTCGTATGAAGACACTGAAAGGTGTCATTGTAATTATTTTTATTTTACTAATAGATGTCGCTGTTAATGCGAATCATATTATAAGTCCATGTATCATGGATTAAAGTGATATGAACGGATAATTAGATTAGGGTAATTCTATTAACATCTCATAATCTTACTTCTTCTTTTACCCCTATTTGAATTAAGATGAGAAAAAGAAAATCTAACTATCCAATTATTTACCAGCAGCCATCTACCTCACACCCATTCATTTACCATGGCACCACATTATCAAAAGTTCATCTTTTTGTTCAGAAGTTCATCTTCTTATTCATATGAATTCTCTGTAATTGATATATGGCATCAATTGTCAAGAAACTAGTGCTTGTTGATTTATTTTTTATTTTTTTAACTATAAAAAAAATATAAACCAAGAGATCAAATTAACCCAAGATCCATCAAAATATTAATATAAACTGTAGTACTTCAACTCTGATACAATGCAAATGACATTAACTGAATTACAAAAATTCAAGCTCCTGATTGTACTTGCGAGCCAAAGCCATCAGAGAACGCTCGATAATCCCTCCATGGAGCCTCAGCACCAGTTGAAGAATCAACTCTTTCTGGATGTTGTAGTCAGCTAGGGTTTGGCCGTCTTCGAGCTGCTTGTCGGCGAAGATCATGCGCTGCTGCTCTGGTGGAATGCCCTCCTTGTCCTGGATCTTTTTGGTGTTTCTTTTTTGTTTATGGGTTTGAGGGACAAAGTTGGAATTTTTGAGGAATTTTTTGAATTTGGGGTGGATTCATAACATTGTGGGGTGTGTATAAAACAACCCTTAGATTAAACGGTTTTTTAATTACATGATAATCAAGACAAGGGAAGATCCAATTTTGATCCACAACTTGGCTGTTAAACTAAATATATAGATAGGGATGTCATATCATCGTAGCCTTAATATAGCAAAGTAAGATTAATTATATGGAGGGGATACTTAATTTATTGATGGACCAATCGATCAAGATTCAAACTTAGTTAAATGAAAATGGAACGAGGCAAAGCTATTAGGGTTAGCTTGAGCAGTGAGAGAATGTATGATAATGAGTTAAGATTAGAATAAATTCAAATATAGATCAATTCCTTCGTGTATAACCAAATAAGGAACCGGTCTAGTTTATAACTATTATTGTAAGTGGAGATCGTACGTGCTTAATTTAGTCCAAAAACACTTTTAGTGTGGAGTACAACATATCTGATCTGCGCACGCTCGTGTAAATTAAGAAAAAGTTAAATGGAGATCGAAGACAATAAAGCTCATGCAAATATACAATGGCCATTGAAAGCTCAACGAGTCAAATAATTCTAGACATGCGTCTCTTTCTCTTACTAATTCTTAGGACCTGTGAACTTTGTGGCCCTCAGGGCGACACTGTACAAATATTATATATATAATCAAAATTTACAAATACCATGCATGTATGTATGAATATATTATAAATACATATTATATTTTGTATGTTCTCTCTCACAAAAACGAAAGGTATAAGAAAATTCGCAATTATTGGTAGACAAAGAGAGGTCGATAGTTGGACATTGATCTTTCGATCGATGATTCAATAATTTGCATGAAATAAGTAAAAAACATTTTTTCCTAGTATAGTTAGGGTTTTAGGTGGTCTGTTAGATTATGGAGAATCTGGAGACCATTTCACAAGCCCAAATAAGGGTTTAACTAAGC